GCTGCTGCACCACGTCCTGCATACCGGGTAGAACTGGCCTCCAGGGGGAACCTGGCATTTCGTCCGCCCACCATATCCAGCAGGATGCCATACTCTGCTTTATAACCTGCTACGTGCGGATTCCGCGCCCAATACTGCGTGCCCAGGCAATAGCTATCACCTTCATCATCCCCTTCGCTCTTGCCATAATCTTCCACATCGGTCAGCAACAGGTCAATACCGAGCCCGGGCGACAAACCACCATCCGACTTCAGGGTACGCGCCAGCTCCAGCAATACCGCAACGCCGCTAGCGCCGTCATCGGCACCCGGTATTGGTTTGTTTTTGTCCTTAACATCATTATCTGCCCAGGGCCGGCTGTCCCAATGTGCCAGTAAAAGGATGCGTCGCTGAGCGCTGGGATTAATCGTGCCAACCAGGTTGATACAAGGTAATTTTTTCCCGTCCCAGCCTGTAACCGTGGTTTCCTGGCGGTAAACGGTATCACACCATTTTGTCAGTTGTTGCTGCATCCAGGCGGCGCATTGCTGCTGGGCGGCAGACCCGGGTGTACGTGGGCCAAATGCAACTTGTGCTGCCACCAATGCATACGCAGAATCGGGATTAAAGACCGTTGTTACCGGTTCTTTCATCAAAGAAATTGTATCGTCCGCAGGCAGTGGACCGCTACTATGTTCCGCCTCGTTACAGGCGATAAAGGAGGAGCAGGCCAGCGCGGTAGTGGTGATCAGCAAGAAGCGTTTCATGAAAAAAAGTCCGTAAAAAAATTGCCCCATCGTCGGAAGGAGATGAGGCAAGATAATAGAAAGTTGTTCCTGCTTATTTAAGGTTTGTTTCTGCGGCTTGATGTACCTCGAGGTCTCCCGGCTCATCATTGCTTACGAATGCAACGATTTTGCAGTTTGCAGGATTCCAAAGTGTTTTTTCGCTCATATCATAAACAATGGTGCGCTCATACACGCGCCCGGCTTCGATAGTAACTCCACCGAGAATAGAAGAACCGGTAGTTGCTGTCAGAATATCGCGCAGCACATGCTCATGTTCATATTCTTCAATAATATCTTCCCCATCTTCCTGCGCGTCTATTACTTTATTTTCAACCATTGCAATCGTCAGCTTTTGCTTTTTGGTCATTGCTGATGTATAAGCTACGCGAACGGTGATGACTGCTTTTTTGGTACTTTCATTGTATTCACTGCTAACGGTGACGTTGGCCTTGGTTGCTGCCGACAAACGGGTAGCAATTTCCTGCCCCCAATAACCTCTTTCAATATACAGGCTATTATTGCGGGTGTCTCTTACAAACCGGTCGATACCAGACACGGGTGATTTACTCAGCTTTCCAAAAATCTCAACCGACATTTCGGTGCCTGCCGCAGTTCTGTTATCATGCTTTGTAACGCTATCTCCATTATGCATAACAGGATTAGCCTGGATAAAGCCAAATACCTGGATGCCGATCACGGCCAGGCGGCCGGGATATTGGGTGAGCAGGGAAGCCAGTGCCCGGTGCCCTAACGGACAAGGCGGGCAGGAAACACCTGTAAACTCTTCAATCAATATTTTACGCGGCTGCAACGATTCAACAGGTGCGGTGTAAGTTGTATCGGAGGCGATCGGATCTTCGCTCATCTTCACAATAACCCCCTTTTCCTTACAGCTTCCAAGCGCTAATACAAGGCAGAAAGCACCGGCAAGAGATAAAACAGTATTGATAGTCCTTTTGACCATAGTATTTTATTGTTGTTTGCAAGTTAGGAAATGTTTAGATGTCCTGGCTGCCGGAATATGCATTCGCGCTTAAAATTTCTCCGCACTCCCGGTTTTCATTTACCTTTAACCCCTATGGAAGAAACGAAACGGCAAAAACAGGTGGGCAAACTCATTCAACATGAAATGAGCGATATTTTTCAGCGGGAAGGCATGAGTGTGATTGATGGCGGCATGGTATCCATTGCTAAAGTGAGTATGACCCCCGATCTGATGGAAGCCCGTATCT